GGAGAGTTTTGATAGGCAAAGGAAAAAGAAAAAGGTAGGGGGAGAAGTCATCCTGTTTTCATCCATCTCACCTGCATAATTCGCTGTGATAAATCAGTTGAAGCTGAGAGGTCAAAAGTAGAGTTTGTGATAAAACTAGGAGCAGAATCATTGGATTTGGCTTCTCAGTTGCAGAAGGCAGAGAAACAATAAATACAGAAAGATACAGCAGGTAAAATGTAATAGTTAAATATAGTAAAAATTGTGTTTCTGAATAAAGGCAAAAAAGAGAAATGTTTTCACAGCAAAACATTTGATGAAAAAATCCTCAAAATGTAAACAAATTCATGGGAAAAGTTTGATTTTTCTCTCACCAAGATAAATTCTTATGGAAGAAAAAAAAAAAGCAACATATGTGTGTGTTGTGGGGAAAAAAAAGTTGGTAATGTTTTTGGCTGTTCATGTTTTAATAAGAAAACCTCTTTTCTAAGACCAAAACAACAACATGATTTGGAGGGTTTTTTTTACCTTTATCACAACTGTCGCCCGTGTATCCGCTGCTGCATTCGCAATATGGTTTCCCAAGTCCTGAAAGCCTGCATTTGCCATGTTTACACCTGATGGACTGGCAGGGGTTAAACAGCATTTCCTCTTCATCACAGAGGACTCCCCCATGTCCCTGCAGGCATTTACAACTGTATGAAAACGCATTGATCGGCAAGCAGGTACCATGCACACATCTACAGGGGAAACAAGCCCAAGAGAATAAAAATAAATCATTCATCAAAGTTCAAACTAAGCAACATTAACTACAAATACTTTGGACTGTACTCAGAAGAAATTGCTTTAGTTTCTAATGGACTTTTTCAGTGAGATGCAGTGAAGTTGTTTATAATTGGTATGCAGGTTTCCACAATCCAAGCTGCAGTACAGAAGTCTATCTCACCAGAGAGCAGCCACTGTAGATGTGTTATGGAAGACTTTCACAGGCCACAGTTATTAAAACCAACATTTCCTGTCTGCCTAAATTTTCAGCATGCTTTTCAGAAGAACACAGCAAAATCAAGCGCAAATGTAATCCACTAGAATTAAGTAGAGAAAAACTACTCTCACCTGAAACTCTAGTTCTTGTGTCATTTAAAAAAAAAAATTGCCACTTATAAAGTATGGGTGTCCCAGCACAAAGAGAGGTCAGAAACTTCCTAACTGAAAATATCTGATCCAGCAACAGCAGTTTCTAAGCTGAACACATGCTCTTCCATCGTATACATCAGTCTGCATTGCCAACTGCCAGTAGCATGGTCATATAATGTATGGGGCGGGTCTTCACTTCCCTGAAAGCGAACAGCACTCATCTAATACTCTTGCACAAAAATCACATGAGATGAGGCTGCATATTATCAAGTCTCACTCAAGTGATTAAACTAGCTGCTCTCTCAGTTGAGCTTTGGTAGACATTTGTGTCAGGCTCAGATCTTCTTGTCAAACAAAAAAACGCTGTGAGTTAAGCTGTTACCTGCTGATGTACAATAGTGTAGGAACACATAGCTGGTTTTATGTCTCAAGAGATACATAGTGTTTCCCAAAAAGGAGGATGTTCAATTACATGTTCCTACATGTAAGCTGAAGATCAGGGGAAATTAATCTTCTGAAAACATCACCAATGTCTTGGAATAAAATCACTTCCCTTTGTTCATTTGGTGTCACAGGGTCTATAACTTTCTTCCTAGAAATACTGTTTTTTTCTTTAACTGTTGTCTTGATACACAAGTTTTCTACCTACATACTGTTTCCTAGGGAGACCACAGTGAAAATTCCTCTGTACGAACAATGCCATCCTGACAATCAAGGTCACAGTCACCCTCCCTAATGTTTCTCCCTTCTGTGTCGTTAAGATCTCTGAGCCTACAACCTCCCTAGTAGGTTGTGGCAGCCAGTAAGAAAATTAAAAGCTTTAGATTAAAAAAAACCAAAAACTCATTCAATCTAAAATGAAATCTTTTGTTTCAAGAAGAAGATGGCAAAAATTAATATAAAATTGCATTTCATATTAAAAGAAGTGTTCTGTTAAGAATAATGTCGAATTTTGAAATTAGTTAGATAACACAGTCTGCATTTCTGGAAACTTTTTGCTTTGTACTCTACTTCTTCAGTACAGTAAGAAACTTGGTAAAATTGAAAAGAATGCACAACGCTTTTTAACTTTAACAACTTAGTAGGAAACTGCAAACTTGGAGAAAAAGGAGTATGGGAAGTCATCAATATTTAAATGGAAGGTGCAACACATAGCCTCTATTCACATATCCAGTTTGGGTTTAAAAACTGCAAATATAAAACTTTACTAATAGCTTAAGCATCTCCAACTTCCCTATTATGCAAGAGTCTGTACTTTTGAAGCAACTATGTTCCCTAAAAAATTCCAAATTTTTCCTGTGGTTGAAGTCTGATATTCCAAGACTATTAGATTAAGTAACTCAAAATTGAAGGCTTAGACACTATCACATGGCAGATAGCTTTCATTTAGTTTTCATTATGCTTAGCATTTGATCTGTTCACCATTTATGTAACAACTACTTTTAGGACATCTGATATATGAAGTTACTCAGGTGACAGTGACACCATGTCATGTTCTGTACAGACTGTTTTAGATACCAAAGTAATCTATGTCAGGATATTTAGTAAAGTTCTGGTTGACTTAGAAGATGATCAAATCTTAGCTAATGCAAATTCTCATAATTTTGCTTCCACCTGTTCTTTGAATCCCTGAATTTCATCTTCAGACTGTACTGAGAGGAACATCAAGCTAAGTGCAAACTCTTCAACACAGTTTCATCTATCTAATTTTAGGTACCTATGTCAGGCATCCAAGTTAGATGTATAATTGCCATAAAATCCCCACACAGTCATGGAAACAAATGAGCTTATCCAGAGGGTGATTAGACCACTTGAGGTTTAATTTACTCTTTAGAAACTTGTTTATGCCTTTACTGACTATAAAGCAAACTTTGGTTACTATGTTCCTAAGTTAAGCACCTAGATTTAGGTAAAATAAATCTAAGCCTTAAGCCTTTCCATGGTGTGCAGGGATCTCTAAAAGATCCCAAACATTTCTGAAACAGAGATCACAGTGACAAGTCTGTTTCTTACATAAAGTGGAAAGTTATACTGTATTAGATGGACAAAATGCATCTATTCAGTAGACAGAATTTAAAGATAAATCCAGAAATACAGAATAAAATTCCCGAGGAACTAAAGAACAACAAAACTCTTCTTCAATCCACATAAACAATTTTGGTTTGTTTTTCTCTTCTAAAGGCTTACAGCACTGTATACAGCTGAAACAAAACAAATACTTGCAAGAGCTAACAAAATACTAATGTTCTCACTTAATTCTGTCCTTGATATTGGCTGTATCTGATACTTGCCGAGTTCTGTAATTTACTGCAAAAACCATTCAGTTTGGGTGCTGATGTGTGTAGAACCTACACAGATCTAATTTTTCAAGGACACTCCAAGGAAATTCTTTAGGTTTTTCTATTATAGAACTTGACGGTTGCAGTTCCATTTTGGTTTTTACTCCTCAAGTATAAAATGGATGTGTGATAGATATCCCATTTGTATTTTTTAACCTGCTGTGTCTTCCTTTCTTTATCTTTTAAGCTACTGTGAAAGAGGACAGGGTAAGAAAAAGACCCATAAACAATGACGCGCTATAATGATATGCCTTGAATATTCACTGCTGTAGCTTTGGGTAGAGTTCAAAACTTTATAGTGCTAAGAGTCCATAACCAATGTAAACAATGCTAACTGCATTGTAAAGCATACTAACTGGTATACAAAGCTTTGAAAGGTCAGACTCTCCACACACACTTTGCGAAAAGATCACTTAAATGTGGTTTTATATCGAAGTGAAAATCGTCTTAGAATCTCTTAGCAAACTCAGGCCACTGGTTCTCAAAAGTCAAAATATATGTAGGCCAGAGCACTGAAAAAGCAGCAGCCAAAAATTCAAGCAGGCTCACTTTACCAAAAAAAAAAAATCAAAAAATATTTGCCAAACTGTAGTAAGGACAGTGGTAAGGGGAAACAGAATGACATCTTGTTGCCCATGACTAACAAATTCCGAAGAACTTTGAACTTCCGAAGTTTCTGATCTTGTGCTGGGAAGCCATGAACCAAAAAACTGAATCTGTCTCTATAGTAAATTTAAAAGATGAATATGCATAGATATCAATACTCTCATATACACTTATATACATCTCTTTCGCTCTCTCTCTACACATGTATATACACAACCCTCTCTATAAATCTACATAAAATATCCAGCGTGAAATGTTCTAGTCAAATCTTAAGCAAAAGCACATAAAGGTAGAAATCTATTTTCCTGCTAAAACCTGGGGTACTGTGAAAATATAAAAATACTAGATATATGTATTGTAACAGGATTTTGAAACGCATTAGAGAATATCAATAGTAATAATAATAATAGTAATAATAATAATATTAGTAATAATAATAATAGTATTTCCTCATTCTGTACAATTATAAATAAGCAAATAGAATTTTTTTTCCATCTGAAATTTCCTTTAAATTATTTTTGTACCAAGTGTCATACTAACACCTACATTGGTGTAGTTCATTACAGAAGTAGCCCATACAAAAGTATTTAAGAGCATATCCCAGGCTTTAGGCAGAACTTCTCTGAATTGTGTGTATGCGCACCCCTAAAGTGGGGACTTTTCCTCATTAAGTTTATGGAGAGAATATACTACAACCTGGGTGCTGTTTTCACTTTTACTTGCCCAGGATATTTTGTTTCTTGCTTTAAAAAGTATGAACTTTTATGAAAATATACATAACACAGGACTTATATGCATATTATACTACTGTTCTGACTTGAGGAATGACATACTTATTTCCAAGACATGGGTCATTAGTTTGCTGATCACAGAGGGGTCCAGTCCATCCTCCTTCGCACTCACAGGAAAAGCCTGACTGGCTGGTAGCATGGCATGTTCCATGCACACAAACTTTCTTATGACAAGGCTCACAACCTGGCAGAATTCCCACTTGCAGCGGCACATTTCTGAAGTCCTGGAGTTCGCTGTTGATATACAGGTTACGGATGCAACCATGAAAGCTGGTGCCGTTCTGCCCTGGAGACTGGCGTAAAGCTGCTATGTTGTTTTTCACAGGCATTCCTAGGAAATTAATAATAGCAAATAATTAATGTAATCTTTGGTACAACTGTCTTTACCATCTTTCCTATTTTTCAAACATTTTAAAAGAAATATTTCTTTTAATTAATTATTCTTTGATGTTTAGCCTACAACCATGAGCAATAATCTAGTATTTGGAAATTGTCCTGGTTGTCAAGCATGCATGTAAACCACCTCCAGACCCATAAGTCTCTAAGTCTTGATACCGGAAGCTCACAACAGTGAAAAGGTTCAGATACATGCCTGTTTTTGACCTAGTGCAATTAAGTCCAGGACAGTAAGTAGTTTCTGGATCATGAAAAATCAAAAAGTTTAGCAGTTGATACATGATTTTTTGTAGGCTGCTACGATACTCAAATCCAGAAGAATTTAGTAGGACCAGCTCATCAATTTGAAGCTGGGTGACATATTTCAAATGTGAACTTTTGCTAGTGAAAATTCTTCGAAAGAAGCTCAATAGGAGGATGTTCCATGACTTTGAAAAATATTTTTGTCTGAAAAACAGATCAATGAAAAAAGCCACTCATAGTTTGCTATTAAATTTTAAAACAAGAATAGTCAATAATAACAATAATTCAACATCAAAATACTTATGTGGAGATATTTCTAGATAGTGCGGATGCCCCTGATGTTGGCCATTTTCAGAATAATTCCTCTGTTGTAGTCTATAATTGCTACAGGTGTAATCAGCTCTGGAGGTGTATGTAATGCAGTTATCCTGTTGTGATCAGGTAATAATTTAAGACAAATTCAGAATGAACATTACTATTAAATATTGTTTCCCTGTAAAAATGAAGTTTCTTCAACTCCTACCCTCTGCTTTCTTTTTATTTTTCTTTTTTTTTTTTATTTAATTCTTTTTAACCTACTGTCAACATGTTGGCCTGTATTAGTTAGTCCTTAAGATATTACATTCAAATAATTAATACACAAATGCCTAAATACCTCCTGAGACTAATAAGTAAAGGAAATCAAAGTGCACTGAGCATTAGAAAAGGATCTGTTTATCTGAAAATAAATATGCTTATCAGCTGCACAGGTTTATTCATAGGCAAAATTAACAATTTTCATTCTGGTACTTAGTTACAGAGGTAACGTTCTGCATGGTTGCTCCTTAACCACGTACACTGATACTTCTAATGTTTTATATAGTTACTCTGAACAGTTAAGAGTAGTGCAGAAGTGCTATGCAACCTAATGAAGTAGAATTGCCTTTAATTTAGAGGTTATTGCAATTTCATTTGTGCTAAGCTTCAGTGATTATAGAAATGAACAGCATTGCATCGATACTGCTGAAGAGCCTAATCTTCTTTGATATTCTCAGTTAAGTAAAGTAGGCTTGGGACTATTATATTAAGGGACTCAGAGTGCAAACAATCATTATTTTCCATTTCCTCAAAACTATTTGCCATACTCTCAAAATCTATGGACAAGGCAGAGTCATCAAGGCTCTTCACCCTGATGCCTCCTTTGAAAGCAACACTCAGCAGATGTTTAGGCATATGGCTTGAAGTATGTAACAGTAGAAGGAATGCACTGAGTCGAACCATTGTAAAAATAAAAGCTGCAAAAAACTAAGTACACTAATGCAATGCTAAACTAGATGTTACCCTTCTAATTGTCAGGAAATTGAGATACTATTTCTGGGAATCATGTAAGCACGTATCACACCAGATAATATGAGATATATCACATGTAGTTCAGAGAATTTTTTTGTCTATGATCTCTAATACAGAAGACATTTGGAAACACAATGCAAGCATATACACAAGCTTTTAGCCTATACACTTTTTGTTTCTCCTAGCAAGTTACCAAGTGTTAGAAGGCCAAAGTATATGCAAAAGCAGCTTATATTCTTCAGCAGTATTTCTAAGATGATTTTGAGGTAAAGGTTCTTTATCAGTTAGGAAAGAACTGCCATAGAAATAGTGCAAACAAATATTTCAGCTCTTTTTTTCTGAAAGGTAAGAAAGTAGTCCCCATCCTCCTTTAACCTTTTGGTGACTGAACCTGACTACAGGTGAATTGTCAAATTACTGGTGAAGGAGGCAAATAGTAAGACCATTGTTAATTAACAGTCATACAGTAACACTGTCAAAATGAGCATCTTGTTCAGAAGCTGCAAGAAAAGAGCAGGTACAAATGAAAAGCTGCTGATGCCCTACCTGTCTCAGAAATGGACTTCCATGAAACAATGTGGCACTTTCAACTAGTAAAATATGCTCTATTCTCTGAGACAAGAATGTAAAGTATCAGTGAAGTCTGTGACCTCTTTGAAGAGTTTTTGAGAAGAAACAGATTGTCCCTTAAGACTTACTACAAAAAGCCATGGTCTTTCAATATGATTTACTGAAATCTGTTATAGAGAGACTGAAAAATATCTAGTGTGTGTATTCTGACCACAAGAGAAAACCATACATTTGGAAAAAGTTTAAAAAAAGAGTATAAATAAATTAGCCCACTTTCTGTAAAAATAAAGTTAAATTACCCCCTCAAAACCAACCCAAATATTGTGATCCAAAAATAAATTTGTCATAAAAAAACAGGGGACGGAGGAAGAGAGTGAGAGAGAGAATAAGCTAGAGACAGAAAGCCATACAAGGGCTTTCTGTCAAGTCTGAATTTCATCCTGCCAGCTGAGGTGATGCTTAACAGAAATGCCATTTTAACAGGAAGATGATAAGAGTAAGTGTAAGCTACATGATGATATAGGTGTCAAAGTAAGACTTTGGCAAAGATAAAAATACTGCATAAAATCCTAGTCAGAATTTGAGTTCTTAACTGATGGAGATGTGTGATTGAATTCTCTAAAAATTCTAGATATAGTTGGATAAGAAAAAATTCAATGAATCTCAAAAAGATGGGTAATATAAAGATATAAGAGTGAAAGTTAACTGTCACAAGAATTTTAAAGATCATAAATAGATAAACATAGATAACAGGAAAGTTTAAGAACTGAATATCAACCTACTGTGGGTTTTTTTTTTCTTTATTTTGTAATAATGTGCTTCTAATAGTGGGTTTTATTCTGCTTTGGACCAAAATTTCCTATGACAGTGGAAATAATTGTCTGCTTGAAGCTTGAACGAGAAGAATAGAAATAGAAGGAACACAGGCCCCTTTCTAAAGAATATGCACTAGACTCCTGCTCTTGGGAATCAAACCACTGAAGGAAAAGTTTTCTTCCAAAAATTATTTCTTCTGATACTTCAAAATACTGATGCAGATCTGTAAGGTGAAGAAGCAAGGATGAGAACCACATGTCAAAGACCAACAAGTAAGTGTTAGCACTACACAGAATAAATGTTTATAGTTGACAATCTAGCCTCATTTCATTATAAGGTGCCCATAACGGAGAGGGGGAATCATTCTGCTCTAAGCTCACAGAATCACAGAATATTAGGAGTTGGAAGGGACCTTGAAAGATCATCCAGTCCAACCCCCCTGCCAGAGCAGGATCAGCTAAACTAGGTCACACAAGAACGCGTCCAGGCGGGTCTTGAATGTCTCCAGAGAAGGAGACTCCACGACCTCTCTGGGCAGCCTGGTCCAGTGCTCTGTCACCCTCACAGTAAACAAGTTTTTCCTCATATTTAGATTGAACCTCCTATGCTCCACCTTGCTCCCATTGCCCCTTGTCCTATCATTTGATATCACTGAGAAGAGCCTGGCTCCTTCCTCCTGACACTCGTCCTTTTCAAATTGATAACCACGAATGAGGTTGCCCCTCAGACTCCTCTTCTCCAAGCTAAAAGAGACCCAGC